TCTGAGAGTTGTTGGCCACAAAAGAGACATTCCCAAGCTTTGTTCATATTACACTAACATTTCATCTGTTGCAATGGTTTTTGGATTAATTTTGAGCTCAAGTCAGTATGCCTTGCAAATAACAGGAAACTAGAAGAATTACTGATTCAATACATCCTTATCTCTACTTCAGGAACCCTGCCATTTGAGAAATGACAGATTGCTATGACAGAAAGGGCCTTTTCTCCACTTTCTTCTATACAAATTAAGTACCGTGTATACTAGAGTATAGGCTGCGTTTTTGGCCCTTTTTTAGGCTGAAAAAGCCCTTCTCGGCTTATTTATTAATTTACTCTATTATTATTGTTATTACATTTATTATTTTACCCTATGATGATTATTATTACATTTCCATTATTTTACTCTAATATTATTATTTATTATTTTACTCTATTTATTATCAAGTATATACGGTAAATCTGTAATTTGTGAACTGGTCTTTCCCATACATAAGATAGAATAGTAATGACTTTAACAACTAGCTTTTAAATTGTGACATTCTTATCAGTTGTGCTGATCAAATAGCAGAACTTTATTTTAAATGCTTTCCTTCAAAATGAATAAATCATACTCGAGAATGGTGTATCATCAGCCACACACAGTGGCTATCTTTTATAATTTAGTTTCCCTTTAATTGCCATTCATGCCATATGGGCATTATAGCCTTTGCCTTTGAGACACCAAACAGAATGTGTTGCTTAGCAATAGTGCCCTTCGTGGAAATTAGTTTGTGCTTCAAAAGCACAAAACATTTCTTATTAGGCATGGGTTTCAAAATAATGGATTCTCCTGAGGGTTTTATTAGGATCAATGTAGAGTCAACCTTTCCTGGGTAACAGCAACTAAAGAGGTCTTCAGCTCCACATGACAAGGAAAGTGACTCTTTCAGTCTTTATGTTTAATATGCCAAGTCTCTACGTTGTGTCAAGCTCATCCAAAAGCTTTATGGAGAATAAATCACACCACTAATAACATAGTTAATTACATGTTTTCCGCAAGCTGTATTTATTTATGTTTTAAAATGAACAATTTAGTATGGGCAGATTCATTTATGAGATAGACCTTAACATATATGAAAATGAGATAAGAGTTTACTAGTCGCAACATTTTCTGTACCACGACAAGGAGGGTGCATCAATGCTGTAGAACTGATGTAGTTTGATGTCACTTCAATTACCATGGCTCAATGCTATGGCATTGTGGAAGTTATAGTTTTACAAGGTCTTCAGCCTTTTCTGCTAGAGTGCTGGTGCTTTACCAAACTTCAAATCACAAGATGCCATAGCATTGAGTCATGACAATTAAAATGGTATCAAACTACAATAATTCTAGTGTAGATGCACCCAAAGAAATCTTGCTAAGACTACACTGTTGTGCATAAAGTCTAGTCATGTCCAACTCTGGGGGGGGGGGGGTGCTCATCTCCATTTCTAAGCTGAAGAGCCGTTGTTGTCGTAGACGTCTCTAGGTCATGTGGCTGGCATGACTGCATGGAGCGCCATTACCTTCCCGCTGGAGCGGTACCTATTGATCTACTCACATTTGCATGTTTTCAAACGGCTAGATTGGCAGAAGCTGGGGCTAACAACAGGAGCTCCTCCCATCCCATGCATTCAAACTGTTTGAATGCATGGGATGGGAGGAGCTTCTGTTGTTAGCCCTAGCTTCTGCCAATGGTTCCCAACCTGTGGTCCTTGGACACCAGTGGTCCACAAGAATTAAAGTATGGTCCACAGCCTCACCGTTGCGTCAAAACCACATGGCAATGAGAGCAACTGGTCTCGCAAAACCCTCTTATAGTGCCAAGGCAACGGGGATGTTGGAAGGGAAGAGGCTGATTAGCCACAAAAGATTACTACCACCACATCAGCTCTAGATGATTAAATATCGTTTAATGTGGGAGAGCACCTGGCAACTACTGGATGGCATATGTTCTGTATCAGAAACTAGAGCTGATGTGGTCTACCCAATGCAATTTTCTGAATCAGCATCCCAAATAACCAAACTGAATCTAAAGTTGACCAAAAACCAATTTGTAACCTTTTGGTACTAATGTTGGCAAGTGGTCCCTGGTCAAAAAAAGGTTGGAATCCACTGGTCTATAGCAAGGATGGGAATCATGCACACCCACACCCAGATATTGTTGGATTGCAACTCTTAGATACGATAAGAAATGATGGGGTCTGCAATCCAGCAATATCCGAAGGCACCATCTTGTTCCCACACATATCCTAAAAGTTATAAATTGTATTAAAGCAAGATGCAGTTTTGTAGACAGACGTATAATGTACAACTATATAAGCACATGCTATAAAGAGAGGCTGCAGAGGTCAATAGTGTGCCAACTGGTACTACTGAAGTCCTATAAGGTGTTTACCTGTAGGAAAAGTTCAAGGGAAGAGGTCTTATTAGTGGTTGCTCTCAGGCTGTGGAAATCCTTTTCACTAGGTTAGTCCCATTTTCTGCGCTCTTCCTACCAGCAGGGAAAGTCATTGCTGGTATTTGGCAATTGCATTTGTTACACACACATCTCTTATGGCGTGCATGTGCTATTATTTTATTCTCATGTTTTATATTTAATGTTTTCAAACTCTATTAAATTAGTGCTTAATCAAATATATATATTTTAAAATATTACAATCATTGTATTTCAGCTGCATTTTGTTTTTATTCTTTGCTGTGAGCTATACTGGGTCCTATACTGTGAGAAAGATGGAAGGGATAAATGACCTATTTTGTCAGACGAGGGTAAATGAAATTGTGGGTTTGGCAGATACAGGGATCTTATTGTATTGTATAAATATATGAATAAAATTAAAATTATTTATTCACAGGATGTTTACCCTGTCCTTCAGAGTACTGCCTGGTCTTTAAAGTTCGACTTTTATGATGGTTGGCCTTCTACATTCTACTTTGCAGAATGAACTCCACAGTGCCTTCATGTCTTCATATAACCAGTTTTCACTGGATCGCCTTAACATAATCTTCATCATAAAATCTTTCTTATTGCAATATCATATTCAGGAAAATAATTGTATTACTTACTAACAGAAAATTGAGTGAGTCATAAAGGTCATTGCATTGTTTGGAAAATGAATCATGCATGGTAGCAATGCCTCTGAAATGTTTTGTTTACTTCAAACATTTGCTCAGCTATTACTACAGCTACTTTAGGGAAACAGTAATAGGTTGGTTCATGCACTGATCCACATAGAGGCCTTGTAGATGGTGACTCTGGGAACATTAATACAGTACAAACATGAAAAAAGGTAATTTTCTCATCAGTAGATATCTGTAAGTGCCTACTCACCTTCGCTTTCTTGTGGAAGTCATCTCTTTCTACCATGCATTGAGATGTGTGAAACGAATGAGCGGTGCCACTTACCAACATGACTATCTTGGTTGATTCTCCTAACTGTTACATTTGGGAAGAATTCTGAAATGAGCAGAATACTTTGTGCACACATTCACAAATGAAAAAGATTTAAATAATGAGAAAAACTTCTCTCTGCATCTTTGGAGACCAGGCAATCCTGAACTAGATGGAGGAACAGTCTGAGCTGCTATAAGGCAAGGTCCCATATCCATGCATGTGTACAAGAGGAGTTTCTGAGTGAATCAAATGGTCCATGGCTCTCATCTATCCTGGAACCACAATGTTCAGAGTTCCAAATAACCATGATTAGCATTATGTAGAACTATTTACACAGGAAATCACAAGCCAACGAAACCCCTGGAATAGGATAGCAGACTTTTCTTTTTTTTAAAAGCTGTGTTGACCATGAGTAAAATACCAAACCAGGGGAAACCCTCTAAAACAGTGATTCTCAACCTGTGGATACCCAGCTGTTTTGACCTACAACTCACAGAAATCCCATCTAGTTTACCAGCTGTTAGGATTTCTGGGAGTTAAAGGCCAAAACATCTGGGGACCCACAGGTTGAGAAGCACTGCTCTAAAATATCATTATAAGAAGATGAGTTTTCAAAATATCCAGGACTCTTCAATTCTGAATGGGAGGCAGGGAGATGAATTGAAGAGACTCAAGATCATCCTAGCTAGATACTGAAACCATGGTATGTGTAATTAGGCTTTTTTTCATGTCAGGAGTGACTTAAGAAACTGCAAGACACTTCTGGTGTGAGAGAATTGGCCATCTGAAAGAACGTTGCCCAGGGGACGCCCAGATGTTTTGATGTTTTACCATCCTTCTCTCATGTCCCCGCATGTGGAGCCGGACCTGACAGAGGGAGCTCATCCGTGCTCTCCCCGGATTCAAACCTGCAACCTGTCAGTCTTGTCCTGCCAGCATAAGGGTTTAACCCACTGCACCACCGGGGCTCACAGTTAGGCTAAAGTCCTAGAACAGAAAGGCCATTCACATTAAAGAAATATAGTGTGATATTCTACTTCTATTATTATCAATGGGGTTTTTTGTTTTTGTTTTGTAGAATAGTGAGTCAATAGTGTTCCAAGGTGAGAATTCTAAATATTTCTCTCTAAATTACCATATTGGCATTTTACAGACTTAACTGCCAATGCAGTTAAAATGGGCAAAGCACTAGCATTCTGTAATATGAACAGATCCAGAATCTTCAAAGCTGAAGAATAATTTTGAGTTGTAGTAGCATCTAGTTTCACAGCAGAAAATATTTTCTACTGTTTTCCTTTCTTTAGACAAAAGGCTTCCTGTCACTCAGTGAACTCTCTTTTGCCTTTATTCAAAGCACGCTAGGAGCAAAAGGACCAGAAACATGATCCTTTGAAGTTCTTCTTGTTGCTTTTACCAGAAATCTTAGTCACACACCTCCCCTGTTCCATCTGTCTGATATACCGTGCAGTTATCCCAAGCTCTTCATAGCTCCCATCTGAATGGCAATATGTATGTTGTTCATGTTAGGTGCCAGTTTTCACAATATGGAATTTAAGAGAGTTCAAAACACACACACACACACATAAAATGAATTACTATAAAAATTTAATAGGTCAGCGTCTCCAGATTGGAAATAATTGATCAAGAATAGCAGACACCTTCTGGACTGTTAGGAAAAAAAAACCCTTTCCCATTAGTTTTCTTCTATTATTACCACTAAAATCATATATACACCATTCAGTTTTAATTTAAAACCATACATTTGAGTTTGCCTTATATGTACTGGTTTTGTGGTGTGTTTTTAAAAGAAAGTAATTCATTTAATTAATTCCAATATTAATTCTAAAAAGAAATACATTTAAGAAACATCACTTTTTCACTTGCAACAAATGCACATTCTGTTGCTTTGTTATTACATTGCAAAAATAAACTAATACATTTGTCTGTGAGGACAATGCTGCTTGGACATTAACTATATTGATTAAAGTATTATGCTGATAGCATGACTGAAGTCCCGTGATTAAAGAGTATTAAACTCTGGTTGCAACCAACGCATAAACTGCGTTTCCTAAAAAGATTAAACCAAGTAGAAAGGAGGCAAAACCAAATTATTCTGGATACAAATGAAAAAGTATACATCAAGATTAAATCCCTTCAAGGCATGTACAATGTCCCTTTAGAATTACAAATAAGGGGTAAAATAATCCCTTTCAGCAAGAGATACATACAATAAGATTGTGATAGTTTTGACATATTTCTGTTCAAAATAATTACAGATTTTTTATTTTAAAAAAAACAGTTTGATCTTTCATCTCATCCTTCTGTTTTGTTCCCTAGCAATATAAAGCATACAACATCAAGCAAAAATATATTTTGAAAAAAATGGTACAGTCCATACAGTCAGTGCTCTCATCAATAGTTCAAACTTTAAAAACTCCTATTTGACTGTTGCCTTCTGAAATGCATACAAACAACACTTGTAAACATGGGTGTAAACTTCAGAGAAGATATGTGCCCAATTACCACTGAAAGTGAAAGATTCTCAAGTCTGAGGATATAAAAGTTCATCCCAAATTAACAAGGCACTGTCCTAAAACAACAACATTTTAAAAACAACTGAGTCAAATAATGTGCTTTAAACACAAAATTATTTAAACTTATGTGTTGAAACTTTCCCCTTCAACATAAAACCTCATGTTTTGCTGACTCACACAGGCTCTCTTCATATTTGACTATTTCAAATACAGCAGAATCCAAGCAGAAAGATGGGGTGATAATGGTTAAAAAAACCCCAAAAAGAATAAGAGGAGTTGCTGCAATAAAAAGAAATCAGAAACTTCTGTCTTATCTTAGGGTGTAACTATATTGTTATAGCAGCTTCATATCAATTAATCCCTTTCTACACGTATAAAACTCCATATGATGAAATACAGGGGGGTTGAGTCTTGGAAGTGGCTCTCAACCTGTGGGTCCCCAGGTGTTTTGGCCTACAACTCCCAGAAATCCCAGCCAGTTTACCAGCTATTACTATTTCTGCGAATTAAAGACCAAAACATCTGGGGACCCACAGGTTGAAAACCACTGGTCTAAAGTCATTCCTAGTTCCTGTCTAGACACATGCCTAAGAATATATGTAAACAACAAATCCCAAATTCCATAAGTTGAGTTACGATAACTACTATGGCATGGGAATGATATAACTGTACAGTACAGATACACGTGCAGTCTGCTCCAAATATCAAACTCTGCTCTTATAAAGTAAATTTAGGTGCATAGCAACAATACAGTCCTGCTCTGTTCTCCAAGGGGTGAAGAGGGGTGTCAGCACAAACTAGAATACTTAAAACTGGAGTAAGAAGCAATTAACATAGTGGGAATTACTTTCAACTAAAGGAAGGCAGTGCTCAGTCTTATGTGCAAAAATATCTCTTTGTATTGATAGTAATGAGAGATTTGCCTCTCTTCCCCATAATGTCAATGCTCTTCAAATTCTTTAGCTCACTGTGAACAATTAGTGAAATGTGGCAAATGAAGGACTGTGCAGGGTGAAAAGTCACATCCAATCTATTTGCCTTTTCTGTCAAGCACCCATTTATACTACAGCACACCATCCACTGCCATTTAACAGTAGCATCATACAAAATTTATAAAGATGTGATCTGAATGCTGAACTGTTGTTCAAAATTTCTACACATAAAAAGAATATGATGGGGGGGGGGGAACCAATCCAAGAATGCATTAGCTGTCAAGAACTTAAAAGAATATATATCTCCACACTTATTCTTTAAATGCATTTCTAGATTTTAGGCATACAATTTTCTTGAGGACATCTTTTTTTCTTTCTCTCCATGATAAATGTGGGATAAATGACACTTAAAATTGATTGTATCTGACCTAGTACCTTTCTTCACGTATTATAAGAACCTGCATGTATAGTCTTTTCTCTCCCTGAAGGGCTTACAAATTGAAAGGAATAGTGGGCCCTTGATGCTGGAGTCGCCTAGTCGCCTACTCAAATGACACTGTAACACTAGCCAACAGACAAGGGAACTGAGAAAGTCCATGCGAGAGGCCTATGACTCTAGGATTCCAGCTGCCATGGACACCTGAAGGCAGTGAGGTCCACCTCCAAAAGTCTCCAGGATCAGATGCCTCAATCAATCTGGAGGAAAGGAGTCATTAGCCTTGGAGGCAAGGTCAGCAATATGACTCTACAAGAGATGCTCTTCAAACAATGAACATGTGATGAGTCTTATGATACATTCTGTTGGAAGACAGAGCAATGGGATTGGCATTGGCAGTGGCACATTACTTTATTGAGAGCGATAATATTTTAAAGGAGACGTCAAATTACTGTTGAGGTGCAAAGTGGAAAATCTTCCTCACAGCAAAATAAAATAGTGCGCCAGAACTGATCGTTCTGAATCAGTCGACCTACTTCAAAGCATACAGATTTTTTAAAAGGCTATTCACTCCTTTTCTCCTTTTGAAGTACTGCTCCAAGTAATGCCATTTGCTGCCATTAAAGAATCCAAAGGGGAGTGGTTCAGTAAGACACAATAAACCTAAAAATAGCTTTAATGCATTTACATTGCTCAAGTTCATTTAAATGATTACAGAGAAGTCTTCTAAGATGATTATGATAGTAATATTTATCTCTCCACCCTCCCTCGCATTTTTTCTGAAATAGGAATGGATGCATTGAGGGAAAATATCAAGAGATAAAGGTAGTGGTTGATACAACCCCACAAAAAGCTTGACTGATGGAGGGAGGGAGAAATGTCAGGGCTGGTTCAGAACTCAATTCCAATGGGAGTGTGGAAAATGTTCATTTTCACTCAACCTTTTTCTGTTTTGTTGCCTCCTCCAAAAGCCACTTCTACTGAAGAAATCAGTGTATTATTAATAGATACAATGTATAATAAATCACAAATTAGTATTTTTACCTTGTAGGACTACCGTATTTTTTCCTTCTTGGGAATCTATTTTAATTCGAATCAATATTTGGACATGTGTTCAATAACCACGTCAATCTGCTCCATGACGTATTTCTTTTGAAATCATGAATTGTTTCAAAAAAGCAGTCCGTGACATGAAATAAGGCAATGCTATTTCAAAGAAGAGTAAAAATGTCTGTTGGGCAGCCTGCTTATGGTATGCCTAAAGAATCTCTTTGGATCCTGACATTTTGATACTTTTTAAAATACTGCTGAACAGGGCTTAGCCTATGACATAGAACATGCCCAGTCTACAGAAATTTAACTCATACCTATATTCCACTGAAAAAAGGAGTAAAACCAAGCCTTCAAATTCACAGGACTAATTCTTACTGATTTCCAGCTGGACTGCACTGAAAGTTACATACAAACTCTCATTGGAAACATATGCATGAGATACTTCTAAAATTCAAGTAAACTCAAGAGAGACTGTACATCTGTGAAACCAAACACACAAAAAATATTATAATTGCCATTCACTGAAAGAGATTAATTAACATACAGTATCTTTTGCAGGAAGGAATGAAACAAAATAGAATACTCACACACATAAACTAAAAGGTATTGTAAAGTGCACAGAGATGCTAAAATCTATTTTTCATATCACTGCAACTCTTGGAAATTTTAAGAAAATAAGAAATTTTTTGGCTCTACTTTGTTGGCATAAAGCAGTAACATGATTTCCATTCTGCTAAATGAACCATAAAATAGCAGCATTAAAAACATCTACAATTAAACAGATCTCTAGTCTTTAGTATCAACCCTGACAAACCAAACTGAGTTTTGTCTCTCCACCACAGAATCCTGGAGGTAGTGACCACAATCCATAGGCAGCTGCAGGTGTGTGTAAGGAAAATCTTTGCATGTAGTAGGAGGCTATCTAGAGCAGGGTTTTTCAAAATGTGCTCCTCCGGATGTTTTGGACTTCAGCTCCCAGAAATCCCAGCCAGCTTACCAGCTACTAGGAACTGTGGGAGCTGAAGTCCAAAACATTTGGGGGAGCACAGTTTGAAAAACCCTGATCTAGAGCATTGACTACTGGTTTGTTGGCATATTTCAGCCAACAAACCAGACAGTACTGGTGGACTGAATTGCTCTTCTACATGTCAGCCCTTGCGTACACCCCAATCATCCCCAATGCATTGGGACACTGTCCAGAAGAGATTGCAGGATGTGTACAAGGGGCGGGAGGAAATTTCCCACTGCAGAAGTGGCAACCCGAATGTAGAATGTTTATTTTGTTCTATTTATTTATTTATTTATTGAATTACAGCCAGCTCTCCACATTTGCTGGGGTTAGGGGAACAGGGCCCTTAAAAAGTGAAAAACTATGAATAAAGAAATTGCTAAACATCTCTCTAGGAATTTCCAAGATTTCCATTCACAAGTGTATGATCAGCATCTGCTGGAAGCTAACTATAAAATCACATTGGGGGACTGAAAGATCTCTAGAAAAGTTTTCTTCTTTTGAAATCTTTGGCCCTTGGGTATGACTGGAGGAAATAGACTATAGTCATGCCAGAGGACCTAGAGATTCCTAGACATAACATTTGAAATCAAGTAAGTAAATAATCAAATCCGAAAAAGTAAAAACCACAAATGTGAAAGGACAACTGTAATTATGTATATCCTGTCTTTCTGTCAAGGTGGGATTCAAGGCAAACGTTGAATTGAACTCTTGTGTCTGCTGAAAAGAAAACATAAACTGTGGCTTGCCTCTTCAGCAGAAGAAGCTGTTTTCTAAAACTTTGTAGCCCATAACTTTGTTGAGTTATACTCTGGCAGCAAAGACCAACTGTAATCTTTTTCTTGAAATTGGACATGATACTAGACTATATACTAAAAGTTGTAAATATGGCAGCTGAAGAAACCATGTAAAAAATCCACCAAGACAAGCATACATCAGAAAAGAGCATCTGTCCACTGTTTCCAAGTTTTACACTACTGACCGGTGCTCCCCACACACATACACAGCACTAGGCCGGATACGTCTTCTGGTGTTACCAGGTAGCTGTGGTAAAAATTTGAAGTACTTGGGCATCAAGTCTAAGCACGCATCATGAAACTTCTTGATCCTCCAATAGTAAATCAGTGGGTTCAGAGCCGACTTGAGGTAGCAGAGCCAAAGGAGCCAAGTGCTTATCTCAAAAAAGTTGTGCTTGTGGTAAAAGTGGCTGTTGAATGTGGCAATAAGGCTGTAGGTGGTGAAGGGGGCCCAGCAGATAATGAAGACAATGAATAGAATCAAGATGGTTGTGAAGGCACGAGTTTTAAAGCTCATATCAATGTTCATTTGAAAGGGTCTCTGGAGGCTCATGAGACCAAGTTTGCTGGCTTGACTGAGGCAAATGCTATCTGGGTGGCTATGGATGCGAACTGCGTTATGCCGTACTGTGTTGAGGATGCCCATAAAAGAATATAACATCACCAAGAATGGAATGAAAAAGGAGATCAGGACCACCAGTATCACGTAGGCACGGTAGCCAGGGCTTGTTGAGTACCCAAACACACACTGAGGTGCTTTAGAAGGTATCTGTAGACTTGGGTTCCCCACAGAGAGTGGGAAAGCAACTACAAAGGCTGTAGCCCAGGAGACAGCAATAAGGACTTTTGCACGGTAAGGATTCAGCTTATCCTGCCTCTGAACTATGATAAGGAATCTGTCAATGCTAATGATGAGCAGAATGGCAACACCTTCAATGACAAACAGCCAGAAGAACATAGCAGAGACTCTGCAAAAGGTATCGCCAAACACCCATCGAGTTGTGATGATAGTTATCAGAGCAAAAGGCATATTCAGCAGAGCAAGCAGCATGTCTGCAAAAGCCAAGCTAGCTAGGAGAATGTTAATAGCAGATCGCATTGCAGTCTTCTGATAGACCATGAGGCAGACAACAAGGTTACCAAGGAAAGAAACTAGGAATATAAATACCATGGCAGCAGAAAGTATAATCTGGAGTGGGAGGCTCAAGCTCTTGAAGTCTTGCAAAGGAAGGGCAGGTGTGCTGTTATCTGTCAAAGCTGTTGCCTCAGTGGTAACCATGGCACCTAAGTGGTATTTCAGTGGCCGCACCGTACCACTACGAACCAAGAAGAAAGGAGTGGTGATATTTCCATAGGCATTTTCATAGACAATGAAAGTTGCATTGAGGATTGCAGAATGAGCACGGGTCAGCATCCCAGAAAGAACCATCACTTCAGCAGAGCAGAACGCAGAAAGAAGCTTCAAGGCATTTTAGTTAATAAGGGTGGTATGTCATGATCCATGGGCCAAACTGTAGTTACATATCCAGCAGGAGGAAAGTAGCGCTTCACTCATTCTGGCAGCCCTTTTGTCTGGAGGGGGGAAAAACAAAATGATAATGGTGAGTACAGTTCTTTGGCGTTTACTAACAACTGGTATGACATACAGGATTAATGCCCAGTGGGTTCTGAAAGAGAGTGGAGGAGAAGAACTATAGTTCAGGGCACAATGAGTCAAGTTACAAACATATAACCAGGTATTACGAAACGGACATTTATTTCTAACAAGAACAAGGAAGATCAACAGGTGAAATAAGCATCTCCTACCACTATGCAAAGCAGAGAAGGGTAGAGGGCTGATAATGATCAAAATAGAATTTACATAGAATTGAACATTGATTATATTCAAATTTAAATGGTACCCGTAACTATAGAAGAAAATTGCACAGCCTATTTGGTAAAACTACCTGGTATATGTTCCAGGTGTATGCCAACTAAGATCCCAGGCCACTCTATGTTTGGCTGGTATGCCATCCACAGCCAATTTGTCAGGAGGTGTCACATCTGGCAGTACACTGAAAGTATACACCAGATTCAATAATCTCTAGTCAAAGACAGGAATTTTCTTTCACAAACATCACTTTCAGGGGAAGAGATATGGGATATCTGTTGTCCTCCAAAACAAGAATCCCTTCTCATGGAATTTTCTTTCAGTTCTCCAATTAAGAGATCTAGGTGTGAATATTTTTGTGTCCCACTCTCTGCAAAGCTGAAGACTTGGGGACTTAAGGAAAATTTCACTGAATGACATTCACTGTTTGTAAACAAACGTTGTATTAGAACCAGAAAAATGCATGCACCATTAGTGAAGCATTTTAATGAGTTTAAGCATAAGGAGAAAGATATTAGTTTTAGGTGTTTAGTGAAAATTGTGGTTAAAATAGGAAAGAATGTAATAAATCAAGAGAAAAAGAGAACTCAATTGGATTAACAACTGAATATTCTAATTTTCAGTGGTCTGAATGAGGATGTACAGTGGATGACAATATTCTAGCCAGTTTCAGCTTCATTGTTTTTGCCTATTTATGGTTTGTATAATGGTGCACACTGATAATTACCATCATTGTCTTTAAGTCTTATTATTTATGTTACATGTATAGAGAGGTAATCTGAATTGTTCATGTTTAGAATGTTTGCGTTCAGAGTTTTTGCAGAATTGCTGTTACGAAGGATGTCTTTTGCCATTACCTTATTCTATTGCCTTGTTATGTTTGTGTGAAACTGCATTATTTTAATATGTTATATAAGGTATTTTAATTTAATTGCTATCTTTAATGAACCCATAGAGTCATACATTCTCAGAAGAATCTGCTATCCTTGAGGACTCATTAACTGTAAGTTCACACCAGACTGTAGCCTTGACTTGGGATAGCGTAATCAATGACAGAGAGTCAGGGAGGTTGGAGTGGACTATATAAACAAATCCTCTGTGTTTTGACATCAAGCCTTGAGGAACGAAGGAGAAGAGGTATATTTATATTGTATAAATCAAATCTTGTTAAGTATTTGGCTAAAGTTGTTTCTCTGTAAATATGTCTACCTTGAATATCAATATGAATGTGTATTTTCTCCAACACTTTAGCCATTTGTCTGGACAACATAAGATTTACTGATGAAGACTTTAGTTGAAATGCTTCTGGCTTCAATTTAAATGAAAAATCAAATGACACTACGGGACATTTTTTTTCTCCCTCTATAAGTGACATGTGCCAGACTGCTATTTATATTTTGGACTGTGGAGTGTTAGTTTGAATAATTGCTTATTTTAGTGATTTATAACATTTGTTATACAACTTTACACATTGAACCCTGGTTTCTGAAGTCATAAGCCATTATAATCCAAACAACTGCCACTGCATGCATCTTCTTAAATGTCCTTCATATTCTTAAATATGGGTCCCAAAGTAGAAACAGAATAGTCTGTGTGTTCCTTCGGAATTACATGGCTTCTGAAGAATAAGGATATAATATTTCCTTACTATTATACGTATTTGGGATTAGTGTAATATTAGTAATTCACAAACCTTGGAATAAGCTATTTTTGGACAACTTTCCAAATCCCACTTCCAATATGGCCAGACTACATGTAAACCGCCTCATATTAAATAGCTACTCTTAATTATCACAGTACTCATACTAAGTACTACAATATATCCACCTTGTACAATTCACAACCAAGTTGCATCTTTCTACCTTTCCAGTGCTTGTTTATGGATAAAGGGAATTTCATTTTATTCTTGTTGATGATTCATGGAAGCAGTTTTCTTATTTCTTCCAAGAGCAAGAGTGAGATATAGCGTACAGTAGTCTTGCTTATCCAACCTTCACTCATTCAACGTTCTATATTATCCAACGCAGTCTGCCTCCTGCCCGGATCCACAGTTGTTTCAATACATTGTGATATTTTGGTGCTAAATTCGTAAATACAGTCATTACTACATAACGTTATCATGTATTGAACTGCTTTTTCTGTTGATTTGTTATAAAGCATGGTGTTTGGGTGCTTAATTTGTAAAATCATAACGTAATTTGACATTTAATAGGCTTTTCCCTAATCCCTCCTTATTATCCTACATTTTGCTTATCCAAAGTTCTGCCAGCCCATTTATGTTGGATAAGCGAGACTCTATTGTATGTAATGTCCAATCCTGGAGGTGCTTGGAGGACAAGCACCATGGGGTGATCCTCACAGTGGTTACGAGTGATCTGCTAACTCCTGTATGTTATGATATCTATTTAACAGCTGTGGATCCATGGACTGTAATAAAGTTTATTATTGAGATCATATATATATATATATATATATTTATTTATATATATATATATATATATATATATATATATATATATATATATATAAAATTCATATCGGGGACATGCTCTTTTACAGAGATAACAAAATAATTAAATACTTTCCCAAAGGAAGAATGATGGTCATCCATGATTGGTTCCTCACATATACTCGTGCACACCTTTCTTTCCCATTTCTCTTTCCTTTGATATTAATAATAGTGCAGTCCACACTGGTGTTAATAATTAACTGGATATAAACACTAGGACAACAGCGAGGAAAGATTTCAAAACTTTCTGAGATAAAGCAAACAAATTTATTTCATCCATGACTATATTTTAGTCCAAATGCTAATGTGCAATCTATAACCTCCAAAGGGAATACATTGATTGTGTTCTTTTCCATTGTAGTGAAGAATAATTTAGCACCAACATCTCGAGCAACCAGGCTCACAAAGGCTTAGGATTCAAATACCGCAGAAAAGCAGTGAAGGGAGTCGGCAGTATCCCTCAAGGGAATTATGTGAAATGAAGCATGACAGGAACAAATAATTCAGGATAAAGAATGGCAGGCAACACAAAACATGGCAAGTCTTTATGTTTATGTCGTTTAGTTATTTTCTAGCATCGATACTCAAGTCAATCAGTAAAAATAACCAGGTAAGTGGCAATCCTAGAAATTCGACATATATCACTGAGGCTACATGCTGAAAAGTACTCCAATTCAGGGAAAGCTTGATTCTAAAAAATGCCTCATTCTTCAGTTCAGCTAACCTATAATTGAGGCAGATGAATGCAATTTTTTCAGGAAAGAGAAAAAGTCTAGGCATCTGCCTCACTCATTCTGAAGAATGAAGAATGGCATCTGATCAAGAATAACCTGAGTGGCACCACTTTCACCTTAAGCTGGCAAGGAGACTGCTTCCTATGCAGCTCTAAAATGATGAATGTAATTCATCACATGTGTCATTCTTACCAGATCTGCCTCCTTTCTCCAAGCAAGCTGCCAATTTTAATTTATGTGTTTATTCAAATTATTTCTGTATTGCCTTCCAACCCACAAGGGCTTCTCAAAGGATGAACAAATAAAAACCAATTAAAACAATACAAAGATAAAAACCTTTTTTAACATACATTAAAATAATCTTTAAAATTCCCAAAGGCAGTCTAAGGACCTCTTCACACAGGGCATTTTAGGCCCATTTTGCCACTTTTATGATGCATGGCAGGCCCCACCTAAATGCCTCCACTATGAGGAGGAAAGTGTGTTTTGGGTAACTCCAATGGAGCTACCTGCTCTTTCCTCCTCTTTTCCCTGTATGATGGAGAAAGGGTGGCAGGACAATGCGCATTGCCACGCATTCTCCCATTTGATGAGGACAGGGTGCGAATGCACCCTGTCCCACCCTCACCATATGATGAGAAAAGGAAGGAGGGTGCATGAGGCATCACAAGCTGCCTCGCATACCTTCCCTTTCACTGGTGACTGATAGTGAAACAGTATGGCCCAAAAGGGCAGTGTGAAGAGACCCTCAAAGGAATATTTGAACTCAATTTTGAAACACTTAATACTATGCAAAACAGTATTTATTTGGCTGCTTGCTGGAGGCTTAGAAGAGATAGGACTAGTCTAACTTCCTCAGGTAGGAAGTTCCACAATCAACATGCTTCTATGAAGAAAGCCCTGTTACACCTCACCACCAATATAACCTCACCATTTATTCAAACACATAACACAGCCTCCTCTAAAGATCTGGTACTGAAATCACACAAATGAACGTCATTCTGTGGCTTCTGGAGGCAATGGTGCACAACAGCTAAAAGCCTGAATGGCAACAAGTGATTGGTAATTTGAATTTATTTACTTAAACATGGTGTCACAATAAAAATATATGGATTGCTGAGAATCTTGAATACATCAAATGGTACCAAGGTCCATTAAACACTATGCAATCCCAGGTTGTAACACAACAAAATGCGGGAAAATCACATCAGGGTTAATGCTTCTGCAAAGCACTGTAAAGAGGAGCATAAGAAAGTACTTCATGGTCCATCTAGACAATTCTTGTTTACACTGTCTCCAGGGTTTTGGGTAGGATTCATATTCATCCTTACCTGGATAATGAACTTAGGACCACATGCATGCAAACCATGCTTTCTCACACTGAGTTATAGTCTTTACCTCTGCTACTGTAAGTACATAATGCTTCATTTGATGGTTGAACAGCAAAAGCAATTGTCAG